TTCGGCACGAACGCCATGGTTCGTGCTGGCGGTGTCGGTACTGGTATTGGTGTGAGGGAGGGGTTGTCTACTTGTTCTCTCGTCCTTCGTTGCCCGCGCAGTCGGAAGTCGTCAACGAAACGAACGAACGGGTGTTGTTATAGGATTGTCGAAGGATGTTGAGGTGTAGGAGTGGCGGAGTGCTTTATGTCCATCTGGTCCAGGTCCAACTTCGAACAGACGTCAGACACCCCCCCGGAAGGAGGGCCAATGACAGTCGCCGATGCGACGGATCTGGCCAATGGGAAGGCAGGAATCATGGCTTCTTTGGAGAAAGGGTGGGGCCTGATGGAGGGGTCGGTTGGGTAAGGTGAGAGATCTGTCTCTGGACTGGTACCTGCTGAAGGTTACGTGTACTGTGGCTGACTTCTGGTCTGTAGATGTGTTCAGTTTGCCTTCAAACACGTATTTCTTTCAATCGTGCTGCCTACTGAGAACATGTCGAACACAATTATTTGAGTTCCCTTGACGGTCCCTTTTTTGCAGTGGTGGAACGTGTCCTCAGCGCACTGGAAAAGCTGGAACACGCGCATGTCACAGCGGTGTCTTCAGCTGGGCTGATGGGGGACGAGACGAAGCTTGAGTGGGGCAGCCGCAGCTGTGTCCCGTCCTGCAGCTGAATAACCCCACCAACGCACTCAGGGACTGCCTGACTAATGCCGCCCAGCACGCTAAGCCTGTCCTCTGTTACGCTGATCTGCCTGGACGTCACTGGAACGCCCTAGACAGCTTTGATTGATTCAATCTCACAGCTGCACCATGTCATCTCATCGGACATAGGAAATATTCAATCATGCCTCTGTAAGCCGGCGCATATCTCTCAAACCGATCATATAAGCTAACTCTTTCTAGCCATTTGCTGGGTAAAAAGTCCTGGAACGTCTACAATGCAGACAACATCGCCCGCGTCCGTCGCGATGAGGCCGCCGCAAAGGCCAAGGAGGAGGCCGAGGAGCAGCGCATGCAGGAGATCGATGCCGAGCGCCGTCTAGCTATCCTCCGCGGCGAGGTGCCGCCTCCGTTGCCGCCAGCTGAGACCGATGACTCGGAGCCCAGAGCCAGAGACCGCGACGGGGAAGGCCGTCCCAGAGAGCGGAAGAAGCGCAAGCGCGCTGGTGAAGACGACACCGACTTCGAGTTACGCGTCGCGAAAGAGCGCTCCGATGTGGTGCAGGCAGCCAATGACACGCTGCGTAAGTCGACGAGCTCCGCGCCCATCGTCGACCGCATGGGGCACATTGACCTGTTTGGCGAGGAGCGCAAGCAGGGTCGGCATCTCAAGAACGAAGAGGCTGAGAAGGAGGCCGCAAAGAAGAAGAAGGAGTTCGAGGATCAGTACACCATGCGCTTCTCCAATGCGGCAGGTAAGGACGGCCTGGGAGCTGCTTGGTACGCGAACTCTGGGTCGAGAGCGGAGCTCGCCGAGTCGGAACCACCAGGTAAAGATGCCTTTGGAAACGAGGACCCGGGGCGGAAGAAGCGGGATGCCGACAGGATCGTAGCGAGTGACCCGCTGGCGATGATGAAAAGAGGTGCCGCCAAGGTCCGAGAGGTGAAGAAGGAGAGGCAGAAAGTCGAGGCCGAGCGGCAAAGGGATCTCGAACAGCTTCGTAGGGAGGAGAAGCGAAAGGAGAGGCACGAAAGGGAAAAGAGGGATCACAGGAGAGGATCGGAACGGCACGATCGCGAGAAGAGCAGAGACGATGGGGGACATCGTCATCGCGATAGGGAAGACAGTGACCGTGATCGTGACAGGGAACGTCGTCATCGCGACCATCACAGGTCCACGGGCGACCGCGAGAAGCATCGTGGTGATGATCGTCACCGAGATGAGAGGAGCAGCAGACATGGCGAAGAAGGGAAACGGCGCGAAAGGTCTCATCACAGAGATAGAAGCCGCGATGGGAGGGGCCACTCAAGACACAGGGAGCGACATGAGAAGGATTCATCCTCCAGACGCCGTGACGACGGTCGAAGAAGAGACGATTCGACGGCAGGGGATGACAGGTCGAGAGATTACAAGAAACGAAGTGACGACTGAAGACGATACCGGCGTTGCTCGAAACTATTTCAATAACTTGTACACTGAAGCGAATTTATATACCCAGCACCAATCTCTATCGTTCAAGAGCAGCATCAGATTTGCCCAAGAAACATCATTCTTTGCAAAATTCAGGCCGTCTTGCAAAGCTTGCCGCTGTTGAGGTCGTACTTCCACGCGTCGCTCCCAACTCCAGCCAAAACGAAAAGGCTCTCCGTCGGATCATACTTGCGCTTGACCTCAAGAAGACGATCATAGCTTTCGCCGTAAAAGTCTTCTTTGAACTGACTGTTGAACGCGTTGGCTTCGTTCATATAAGACCCCGAACCAGGCGCCCACTCCCTCCAAATAGGCTCCTTGGTCTCCTCCAACCACTTGGCCGCAACATCGAGCGCCTCCTGTGGCGAAGCGTTAGTGGTGTCAATTGACGCTCCATAACTCATCATGTGGATGTAGGTCGATCGCCACACGGGGTTCACGGCGCCGCGCATCTTCTCCGGCACGTTGCGCGGCCCGGAGCCACCCTGGAGCCCGATGACCATCATGCCTCCGCCCGTTGGGGTCTGAGTCTGCATAATCTGCTTCAAGTACGAGACCAAGGTGGGCTGCTCGATATCACTAAGGTGTTTGCGGCCCAGGAGGCGGCTGGTCATCAAGCTATAGGCTCCCGCCGCGCTGGACGCTCCGTTGACGGATTCGAAGAGGCTGATGAAGTCAGGCTGCACAGAGGGCTCGCCCAGCGTGACTGAGACGGAGCCATTGCCTCCTCCTGCAGCGAGCATACGGTCTCTGACGGGTTCTAGGAGTGAAGTCATCTTCTCGGCGGTGGTGTTGTACGCGAAGAATTCCAGCGAGCCCGAGACCTTATGCGTGACATTGGCGGCGAGCGAAGCGTTTGTCAGGGCATCGGTACTGAAGAGTGCGGACCCGGTCAAGCCCGCATCCATCAGATCAGGGATGCTCGCTAGGAGGACCGCGAAACTGCGCCAGGTCGCTTCCTTGGCGGCAGTGTCGTTCTTATCTGTGGATAGAGCGATGCTGAGGGAAACGACGTTGCCGGGAGGAGTGTGAGCCTTGAGGACGTACTCCGTAACGAGACCGTACTGACCGCCTCCGCCTCCGCGGACGGCGAAGAGGAGGTCCTGGTTCTGGGCGTCGTTGGCAACGAGAATCTGACCCTCTGTCGTAACCACGCGAGCCTGCAGAATCTGGTCCGCTGCGAGTCCGAAGGTGCTAGAAAGGGGCCCATGTCCGCCTCCTTGAATCTGGCCTCCCGTTCCTACGGACTCGACGGTGCCGCCGACGAGAACCTTGTCGTACTTTGCCGCGCCGCGAGTGGCGGAACCCCAGTTGTTGCCGGCGCCAACGATCATGGCGACTTCGGTAGTGTTGTCCCCGGGGTTTATCCACTCGGGTTGGAACTCGAGCTTGTTGAAATTGGGAGTCCAGATAGACAGCGAGTAGGCGCCGGAAGAGCTATTCGTTACGTCAGCAATAGCCTGCCAGAGTTCAGAAGATAGAGACGTACCGTCCGTTGAGGTCGTGGCCAGTCCCCTTTATCACGATGCGAATGTTCCGCTTGCTCGCCCAGCTCATGGCAGCCGCGACTTGCTCTTCCGTGGTGCCGTTGACAATATACTCTGGCAAGCCACCCAGCTCGCAGCCCTGGGCGGCCGAGTATCCCGTCGCGCTGGGAGGTAGACACGAGTTGTTGGCGTAAAGGGGGTAGTCGACAGATTCGGGGAAAGCAGCGTGGAAATCAGAACTCGTCCACCCCTTTTCGACATCCTCGCATGCCTCCGAAGAACCAAAGGGATTTCCAGAGTAACAAGAAGAGGCAACTGGGATAGTCTTGATGAGGGCACCGTTGATGGTGGTGTTCAGAGCAGCCCAGTCGGCGTCGGACGGCCAAGCGATATCCAACGGCGTGACCTTGCAGGATTGCTGCGCAGAAACACCGCCAAAAGCGGACAAGAGTGTGAAGAACGAAAGTACGGCAGTGGTTGCCATGATGAGTTATCCCAAAGAAGTAAGGAGCGTGTGCTGTGCCTCTGTCAGTTAGTTCACTTTGTCTCTTCTGGTGACAATTTATATTTCTAGACCTCACCTGTTCCTGCACTGAATATTCGTATTCGAACCCGACGACTCTCGTTCGTTTAGCAATGAGGCTCAGCGGCTCTGGGGTAATAATCTCATGCTGCCCCTCAGCTCAATATCGTGCTCGATTCACAAGACCGGGGTGACGTTTGCTGGGCTGTGCTGTGAACAATGGGGAAGCCTGCCGAGGCTCCCTTTGGACCGGCATCGGTCTTTAAGTCACTAAGTAACAACACCAAGAGACTCGTAGGAAGAGTTCCAGGCGACCAAAACGGAATATCCTCCGTAAGTCTTTAGTTGAGTCCATCGGGGCGAGGGTCATCCGTAGTTGGGGTCCGTTCGGCAATGTCCCGGCAGATGCGAGCCACTCAACCATCCACCGCGCCAGCCATCTGCAGGAACCCTTGACTAAGATATGGAACTCTCGCAATGACATGAATAGAAAAGAGAGAGGGAAAAGGCTGAGGCTAAGCAGGGGCGGTGGGACGAGACCGTCACCCGACACGACGGATATTCGTATTCAATACGAAAATTATGCGATTGGTTGGACTGCGCGAGTCGGAAGCCCCTGTTGACGACTTACACGTTCACAGACGGCTGAAGACTCTTGCGATTGATTTTTCTTTCCTTTTCCTTCTACTCCTTCTTCTCCATCTTCTCCTTCTCCTTGAATTCAAAAACCTTCTGGAGGGACTACCGAGGCCTAGCTCTTCCTACATCCACCTCCAGTCTCCTCCCCTGAAATCAACTCCCACATCCCCCACCAATACCACTACATCCTTTACCATCCACCCACACAAAGTTCTTCCAACAACAAAAAATCATGATCAGAGACTACTGGGACCTTGCAGGCCCCTTTGGCCTCGCAGTCCGCGCAACGCTCCGAATCCTCCAATTCATCCTCTCCATCGTCATCATCGGCCTCTACGCCGCGACCCTCGCCTCTTGGGACCAGTCTCCAGAAATCGGTCGCACGGATTGGATCTTCGCCCTCGTCCCGGCCGTTCTATCGATTCTGACCTGCGCGTATCACGTTATTGCGACAGTCACTCACGCAGTCTGGTGCGTCTGGGACTTTGTCCTCGCCGTCCTCTGGGCCGCACTCGCCGGCGTTTCGGCCTCGGACGTCATAACAACAGGAGAAGGAAAAGAAGTCACCGGCGGAGCGAAATCAAGATTGACAGCGGGATCATGGATCGCGGGCGTGCTTATGGTGTTGTACCTCTTCAACGCTGCTCACGGCTGCGCCTGGTGCTGTGCGTCTAGGAAGTTCACCAGGACAGTGCCAGAAAGGAGCAAGACCAACTCGGAGGAGCTTCAGAGCAGAAACTCTCAGAACGTTTGAGATTTGAATCATCATTGTAATACTAGATCCAGGAGTTTGGGACAGACTTTAGCAAAAGACGAACGGAAGATAGACTTGAGCACCACACAGCAGTAATACATAAATCGTGAAAAGGGGCGACTTCTCGATTTTCCAATAGCAGCATAATCGCAATGTTTTCAACAAAATAGTTGCGAATAGGGGCATTGTCGGGTGTTTGGAGGCCCGAAAATGAAAATTCTCACGTCTCCATTCTGTCCGATCAAACACAGAGACCCCAAACAGGCAACCCGCTCAACAAAAGGGACACTTCTGGCAGAGCCACCACCTCAGCCTGACAGGGTTGGGCCAACTAGACTCCACGGGCATCCCGAGCACCCCAGGGCTGCGTACTCAAGCGCGGATCTCGTATCTGTGACAGCCGCAGGCTAAGTAGAGCCGGCTTCCCTGCTTGTCAGGGCAGGGCGGCAGCTGCGTCGGCCCCTCTGTGGGCTGGCATGTCACCGTATGCTTAAGTATGGACGTCCTCCCACCCTCCATCCCTTCTCTGACCTGGCAAACCTTCTCGTGCCAATCTCACACGTGATAGCCACTATGGGTAACCAAGACAGAGAAACATTTGACTCTTCCCGGGCATCAAAGGCTTCAGCCTACGGCCTGGAGGACCTCTACATCGAAGGTAACGCTCATGACCCAGCCTGATCTTCTCCAAAAGAAAAACTAATCATCCAGATGAACCCTCAACATCCCAACCACCCCAAACACCACCCGCCTACACCCCGGCATACACCCCTCAAAAAATGTTTCCAATGCCCTTGAACATCGTGATCCAAGTCGTAGGATCCCGCGGCGACGTCCAGCCCTTCCTCGCCCTCGCCGCCACCCTCCTCAAATCAGGCCACCGCGTCCGCATCGCAACGCACCCCCAATTCTCCTCCTTCGTCCTCGCCAACTCGAACCTCGAGTTCTTCCCCGTGGGCGGCGACCCGGCGGACCTGATGGCCTACATGGTCGAGTCTCCCTCCCTGATCCCGAAAGTGTCCCAGATCCGCGCCGGCATCATCCAGCGGAAGCGCGACATGTACACCGAGATGCTCGACGGCTTCTGGCGCTCCTGCGTCCACCCGGACCCGCTGACCAACGTGCCCTTCGTGGCCGACGCCATCATCGCCAACCCGCCGAGCTTCGCGCATGTGCACTGTGCCCAGGCGCTCGGGATCCCGGTGCACCTGATGTTTACGATGCCGTGGAGCAGCACCAAGGCGTTCCCGCACCCGCTGGCGAACGTGGGGTACTCGAAGGAGGATAAGAAGAGCACAAACTTTGCGTCGTACGCTGCTGTGGAGTTCTTGACGTGGCAGGGGTGGGTTTGCGTGGCTTTCGATTATGTTCTTGCCGCTGACCATGGATAGATTGGGAGATTTGGTCAACGCGTGGAGAGTTGCCTCACTAGGCTTGGAGCCGGTTCCATCAACAGAGGGCCATCGCCTGCTGGAGGTTCTGCAAGTTCCGTTCACCTATTGCTGGTCGCCATCACTCGTTCCGAAACCCAGCGATTGGGGCTCACACATAGGTTTGTCTGCCAAAACTCGTGCCGTCACTCAACTAACTGCAATCTAGATATCAGTGGCTTCTTCTTTCGAGATCCGGCACCGTATACACCAGACCCAGACCTCGAAGCCTTCCTAAGGGCTGGTCCTCCGCCTATATACGTCGGATTCGGCAGCATCGTTGTTGGGGGAATTGAGGGCCTGATGACCATGGTTCTCAGCGCTATCAAGGCGACTGGCGTCAGAGCCATCATTTCGCGTGGATGGAGTAACTTGACGGGAGAAGAGTCTTCAGACGTGTTTTACGTGGGTGACTGTCCGCACGAGTGGCTGTTCCAGCAAGTTGCGGCGGTGGTTCATCACGGAGGGGCTGGCACCACAGCATGCGGTTTGCGATACGGGAAGCCAACGACCATCGTGCCGTTCTTTGGAGAGTGAGTAGCTCCTTGCTGAGATGACAACATCTAGACTGACATCTGAATCATAGTCAACCGTTCTGGGGCGCCGTCATAGCCAAGGCAGGCGCTGGCCCAGATCCGATCCCGTACCGCTCTCTTACCTCGCAGAAACTCATCCACGCGATTCAATACTGTCTATCGCCAGACGCGGTGACGGCCGCAAGGCAACTCGCCGAGTCCATGGAGAAAGAGAACGGCGTACAATCTGCGGTCGATTCGTTTCACAAGCACCTACCGCAGCCCAAGATGCAGTGCGACTTCTTCCCCGACCAGCCTGCGGCCCTCGTGTACGGCAGGGGAAAGAAGCAGGTCAAGATGTGCCGGCCGGTTGCTTCGATCTTGGTGAAGAATGGCAAGGTCGAGAGGAAGCAGCTCAAGTCGTGAGCATCGACCATCCCCTTTTTGCAAGTTCGCCGCTGATATTTTCGGACCAGATACCGGTCGAAACCGACGAATATCGAGAACCAGAGATGGGACCCCCTGACGGCACTATCCGCGGCTTCGATCTCAACGATAGTCAAGATGGCCGGCGCCACGGCGGACATCATTGTCAAGCCTTTTGAAGAATATAAGCGAGGCAGCGAGTCTAATGATAAGCTGGCGGTGCCTGGCCGACCGTCGAACGGCGAGCTGGACAAAAAGGCCGAAGCCGATGCCGAAAAGATTCGCAGACACAGTCAAGCACCGGCGTTTGCGATGCTTCCTCTGCCAGGCGTAGGCGTTCCAGAGGGCGGAGACCTCAAACCCATGAGTCGCCCGGCGTCATCCTCATCTCGAGTAGACGAGTCCTCCAGCAAGCCGGGAGCCATGGCAGTAGCGGCAGCGAACGGTGTTGGAAAGCTCGCGGGCAATGCGACGAAGGGTCTGTTCGTGGACATCCCCCTCGCTGTCACGGAGGGTCTCAGAAACGTCCCGAACCTTTACGGGGATACCGTGAAGAAGCACGACGCCGTGGAGGACTTTCGCAGCGGGGTGTCCGTCGCCGGTAAGACCTTCTGTCACGACATGAAGGGCGGGTTTACGGACATCTTCGTGCACACTTACACTGGCAAAAAGGAGCAGGGCGCAGCCGGAGCTGTCAAGGGGTTGGGCAAGGGCGTCGTGAGCCTTGTCACGAAGAGTACGGCAGCCACGTTCGGCCTCGTGACCTACCCTGCTCAGGGGATTTACCGAAGCATATGGTCTGCCACGAACGACAAGACGCGAAGAAGCATTGAGGACGAGAAGCTACTGGAAGGTGATTGGATGGTGTCGATGAGCCCAACGTGGAAAATGGACCATGCCGCCATTGTCGAGGACTTTGACGGTCTACGTGGGGCGAGAGGCGGGTAATATGTGTCCTGTCTGCCTTGTTGGTGTTGGAAGGCTTCTCTTTCTTGGTAGCATCGGCGCTGGTAGGATTCAGGGGCACTGCAGAATGCAGCGCTAGGTTATCAGCAACTCAATTGCGATATTCTCCGACAACGTCATCATCATTCGAGCTTAGCTCCATATTTAATGCATTCCAGCGTTTCTAGAAAGATTTCTGGAAGGGTGAGATTCCTCTCGTTTGGAACTTTGGTCGTGGCTTAGTCTGGTGATCCCGACGATCTGTGTGAGCGGCTCGGCCGAGATGTTGGAACGCGAGCCGGCAGGGTTGCGAGGGAACGTCAGTTGGAAGGCGCTGGTGTTGGCCGCGGCCGTGGCCGTGTAAAAGATCCATGTGGGAGTGAGGATCTGCAGTGCCTGATGGAGATGGTGGAACTCCAGGCTTCAACGAGGCCCAGGATGACGGTGTTGTGTGGTTGGATGCGGAGGGGCGCAGGGGTGGCGGAACTGGAAGGCTTCTGGAAGGATTCGAAGAGTGGGTTCCATGTGCTTGGCATACGCTGCATCAGCTGATTGGAATTTGATGCGAAGAGAGCTCTCCCACGGGTACCTATTCTTTTCGACAGGGAAAGAACTCTAGAATTCTTCGAAAAGGTAATCCATTGCCACAGTGTCTGTAAAATTTGAGCCACGTGTCGACTTCGAAACTCAGAATGCCGTTTCGTGGACATCTTCAGTGACTGAAGCAGAGCCATGTGACCAGAACCCGGAAAGGACGTGTTGAGAACAGCATAACATAGATTAAGCCAGAATTGCATTTGGCACAATGTGGCACATCTGATCGCCCTGGTGATCAGCCGAGATTGAGCATTGAGGCCCTTGAGAGATGATGTCAACAGCTGTTTAGTGTTGGAGATTGTGATTGTCAAAGACAAAAAGCCCTCTCCGAGGTCTGTCGGGCGCAAATATTGGCGTGCCGGCGAGACGCTACAGCCACATTCGGCAGTGTGGAGACCGGGCGCCGGCGAGCATTGGCCGACCCGGAGGCTGGTGGTCTCAATGGTGTTGCCTAAGAAGCTGGGCGCCGCAGCGGTCGGTAAGTAAAGCGGGGCGAGTAAGCGAGCCAAGAGACTTTGGAATTTGGCACAGTTGACGCTGGGAGCGTGGGAGCGAGTGTGAGGCGGATGCGGTCGGGAGGAGGCGCATTGCAGTAGCGAGGCTTTGGCGGATTGGTGTTGACAGTGAAGTCATCCATGCCGGTAGTCCTCGGAGTTGCGAGAAAGATTGACCATGGCATGGCGTCTGGGCAGCCGAGAACGGCGCGAGGTTTGTCACGATGCCTTTGGAGCCGGGACGGAGCATATGATGGCCGTAGGGTGGCATTCATTCTCGGCGTGTGGTTCTATGATATCATCCGATTTTGCCGTGCCCTCCCTTGGCGGAACTCGGCACCGAAAGGCAATGGTGATTGGCGGGTCGCATCGAGGAGGCGACAGGGTTCCGAATGTCATGACACAGAGATGAATGTTTTGTGAAACGTTTCCCGTTCGCAAAAGATGCTCTCCGATGATTGCGCAAATTGAGTAGAGACCCCTGGCAGGTACGTGAAGTCGAGATGGGATGGCGTTTGGATGTGGAGAGGCATGTCTGTCTGTTCCTCCCTGGCGGGTGACTGGCACACTGGCTCGCAGGGCTTGTTGTGTAG